TCCTTTTCCATTTTTTTTCTCTCTTTATAATTATTTTTAACTTCAAGAGGTCTTTCACTTTCTATTTTTAGATATTTAATCATACCACTACTGATGGGAATTGCTATGTCATTTGATGTTTCTTCTTTTAAAAATAAAATCAAAGGAAATTGTAGGGAAAGGTGGCTTGAATTGGTTTTGAGTAACAACCCAATTTCTCCTTTAAGAAAAAAGAAAAAAAAAGTTCAATCAAAGAGAATTTTGCAATCCAAATTTCATGTCCAGCACAAGGTAAAAGAAATTGCTTATCTGCAATTCCTTAATTAATATTTTAATGGATTGATTCACTAATTTCTAACTAAAAATATTTCTGAATAAATTTTGAAATATAAGTTGGTTTATCAATTATTTGAGTAGTCGGTCAATAGATTATCTATGAACTTTCTTTGGTCTTTCGTTGGTGATTTTTTTTTTCTTCTCTCTCTTTTGATAAAGACGTTTAACAACCTTTGAAAACTTATGTTTGTTCTCCTAGAAAAGTAAAGATGGAAAAGAAAAAAACACATATGCTGAGCACTCTTCTCTTTCCGTAATTAAATGCTTACACATTTGATAAGGAACAAACTACCTAATTAATTTGATAAGTTCCTCTCATCTTCAAATTTTTTCCTTTAAAAAATCCAGTCAACATTTTTTGGTCAAGAAAAGTTATGCATTATTTTAGTTTTAGCTTAAAGTTCTAAAGAAAGAGTAAGATCAATATTAAGCAACCCCAGTGACAACAGGAAGCGTGTTGTAATTCATAGGTCGATAGGTAATAATTTCCTGACATATAATAAGAAAAATTGTTAGGTTGAAATATGACTAGTATTTAATGATTGATGTGTCTGCAATTCTTTTAATTATTACTTTAATGACTTGATTCACTAATCTCTAACTGAAAATTTTTCTGTATAAATTTAGTGTCATAACGTCTAGATCCGGGGATCTATCGCTAGACATTGACTTTAGAGAGTCGCCACCAATCTTTTTTATCTATGTGCGATTAGCCACCTAAGGAATCTGTCCTTTCAGGGAACACCTAAGCTTAAGGGTCCCTAAAAGAATAGGTTCAGGTCTACAAACCAGAACAGAGTTCGGGAGTTCGGTTACGTGTGAGGAAGGTTATAGCACCCTCACAACGCCCATCAAAAAATGGTACCAGCTTGAATTTGTGTTATCCAAAAGCCTTAAAATTTTACCAAGTAATTAATTATTGAAAATTATTCTCAATTGACTCTAATACTTTTAGCAGAAAATTGAGAAAATTCCCTCACCTCAAGAGTATGTAAGAAAAACTACTGTTTCACTTGCAGAGGCTCCATCGTCGGATTATTTAAAAGAAAAAAATAAAATCAAAATTAAGATAGAAAGGGAGGAGAGAATGATTTTTTTTTTTTGTAGGGAAAATTGATACTTTCAACTTTTCCCCAAAAATATTTTTTGGAAATTTCGATTATCAAGGAAAATTGATACTTTCAACTTTTCCCTAAAAATATTTTTTTTGAAATTTATTTCTGAGGAAAATTGATACTTTCAACTTTTCCCCAAAATATTTTTTGGAAATTTATTTCTAAGGAAAATTGATACTTTCAACTTTTCCCTAAAATATTTTTTTTTTGAAATTTATTTCTGAGGAAAATTGATACTTTCAACTTTTCCCAAAAATATTTTTTTGGAAATTTATTTCTAAGGAAAATTGATACTTTCAACTTTTCCCTAAAAATATTTTTTTTGGAATTTTTTATTTTTATTTAAAGAAAAAAAATAATAAAAAAATAAATAAAAAGAATATTACATAAACCTAATCTAATAAATAAAAAATAAAAAATAAACAAAAAAAAATAAAAAAAAAAAAAAAAAAAAAAAAAAAAAAAACCTGGAGCGGCTCGGATCGCGGCTCGGCTCGGCTCGGCTCAAGGAAGAGAAAACGGCTCGGGGAGCGGCTTGGCGGCTTGGCTCGGCTCGGCTCGGCTCGGAGGGGGGCTGGCACGCGCGGGTCAGAAAGCGGGTCGACGCCCGGGTCGGGTCGGGTTCGGCAAAACGCGCGGATCCTCTGTTACTTAAGGCCAAAACGACGTCGTTTTGGGAGGGTATAAAAGGCACTTCCTCGTTTTTCGGCAGAACGCTCCTCCCCTCTCTCTCTCTTCTTCCTTTTCTCTCCCTTCTCTCTAAAACTGAAGAACACCGGTGCCGGATTCTGGAAATTCTCGGAATCTGGAAATTTCACCGGAAGTTGGCCGGAAGATCGCCGGTTTCTGGGATTCTTCGCCGGAAACTGGGCAGGTGCCGGAAACTTCAATGTTGCCGGAATTGTTGCCGGAAAATTCAAATTTCGCCGGAATTTTCGTCGGAATCTGGAAATTTCCCAGAAATTTCCAAAAAATTTTCGCCAAAAATTTCTAAAAATTTTTTCTCACTCCCAGAACACTCCTAAACTTTTCCTAGCTTCCTATACGCCTCCTTTTCTCTCAAATCAGTA